TTTAACGACCAGGCATACATCTTATACAAGTCAGCAACCTGTTAGATCATAAGGTTCCTATATTACATTAATTATATGCTCTATTTCCACATGGATAACACATGGGAGTTATAACATGGTTCAATGAGACCTTTCTAACCTATATTTTTCTAAACATATTTAAGACTCCAGATTTCTTTTGAAAACTGTGAATCAATGTATTGTAATAATTCCCTCAGTCTACATTGTTTTTTTCCTTCTAAATTTGATTGTTCTTATGCTTTATAGTTTAATTTACACAATATGCTCAGGGCATGCTATGAAAAATGTCTGTTTCTAGCTTACATCCGACTACATTCTTGTATTCTTGGCAGAAACTTTGGGTTTTTTGTCTACCATTCATAATTGTAAGTCTTAATCTCCTATTAAAGTTTCATAAAATAAACAAGAGGCCCATGGGCCACTACCCTCACCTGAGTAACTTTGGCCTTGTTGTTTTTCACCTGATTTCCCCCCTTGTAGTACTTATTGTGGCCCCATCCTAACCCGGGGGGTCATGATTTGAACAATTTAGAATCTACACTACCCCAGGATACTTCCACAAATGTTTCAGCTTTTCTGGCCCAGTGGTTCTTGAGAAGAAGATTTTTTAATGACCCCACGCTATTTTTGTCTTTCCTTGATTATCTCCCCTTGGAAGAGGGCTTGGTCCTTCATTTTAACAATTTAAACTCCTTTTCACCCAAGGATGCTTTGTACCAAGTTTGGTTAAAATTGGCCCAGTGGTTCTTGAGAAGAAGTTGAAAATGTGAAAAGTTTACAGACGGACGGAGGGACAGACGGATGACGGACAATGGGTGATCAGAAAAGCTCACTTGAGCTTTCAGCTCAGGTGAGCTAAAAAAAAGATTTTTTTTTTGAAATTTTTAGATTCATTGGATCATTCTTCAAAAGTTCTCTAACACCAGACTAGGGATTAAACAAATACTCAATACAAGCAGGAGTAGCTCTTGTCAATAGATTTAACATGATAAAAGATCCTTCTCAATTAGCAAGAGTTCAGCTATCTCTCAAGAGAGAGAGACAAGGGAGGGTTCAATGTGAAAATACACTTTTGGTTTTATTTTATATACAAAAATATAATCTGCTACATATTCAAATGTATTAAACATGTTAACTATGGCAATCATCCCATGTTTCAAATTAGCATTCCCCAATGTTTATTTTCCTTGTACATAAACTTGAGTCATCCAATGAACATGTCAGAATCTGCATCTTATAAATCTATCCTTAATTAATGTGCTGTAATTTCAAAGTCTTCCTCAAATTCATTGGAATACAAGTTGAATCTATCTTCTGAAATTTGATGAAACAATATGTGCTAAGAATCTCCAATTCATCAGCAATTCTGCCTTTTTCTTCAGAAATTGAGATTTATTTCTGATAAAGCACAAGAGTTGGTAAACATGGAAATGAAATTACCTCCATGCTTCAGTAAGCATGGTAATGTTTTAAAGGGGATTGAAGAAGCATGATCCAGGTGTGAAAGGAATTAAAATCAAATTGGAGAGTTCTTTCAACATGCGCTTCCAAGATCATTTGAGGTGGCACCATCTTTTGAAAGACTGCAACAAGAGTTTAGGAAAATGTTCAAACTGAACAGATTCAGTAGGTGATTTGTTTGATTGCCTCTGTCAAGGTTAAACTGTCACTCAGCAGAAAAAAGAAATGTTTGAAAATAGCTGATGATTTTGATACAAAATCTGACATATGAAAGCCTTTAGAAGATTGCTTTATGATAGGCTAAAAATGTCCAGAATATTTAACGTATGTACCTACATCCTTTCCTTTCATAATTACTGAATCATAAAATTTCTTTGCACTAAAAATAAGAAAAAAATATAACAAATGTCATACAAATTTCCCACACAATCAGCATAAAATAATAAAGATATCTCGGATGTTATATCCTGACTGTTCTCATATCACATTAATTTGCACTTTTTATGTCTTTTTTTCATTTAAAATCATTGAGATCATGCTTCAAAACTGCAAGAACAATGCCAAAATTCCTTTATTCTGGCAATGATTTAATAGTTATAAAGTTTGTGTCTTAAATTTGACTTGAAAAGTAATTTTTTAAATAAATTTTTTGTATAAAACACAATCTCTTTTAACAGCTGAATTCATTTGCGATAAAAACCTTGCGCCTTTGATTTTCAATAGAAAACAGACAGAGAGGGTATATTTTAAGCTGCCATTAAATCTCAGAGTTTGGGAGGAGAAGATCCATGCAGCTTTAAGCCGTTATTGTGTGGCCCTTGCCGAATCTAACTACTCCCTATCTGCCTTGTTATAATTATCATTTAAATACTTTCTGTTTAGCCAATTAATTAATTATTTTCATCATTTCACCATGGCCATCAAACCTCTACCTCCAATTCAAACCAATTTCTAGTCTTAAAAACAATCTGTTTTAAGCAAAAGAGCAGAAAAATATTTGAAGAAGTGTGCTTCTTTTCGTTGTGTTAAGACCAATTCTGAAGCAGTAAGTAAACTGTTTGTCTATAAAGAGGATGCTACACTCTAAATACTAAGTTCACCAGATACAAATTTATGAACATCACTTGAATTTGAAGTTTACTTTAAATTAAAAAAAAATCTTTCAATGAACTTGAAGCTAGCAAGAACTGGTTACCCATAAGAGGGTTATATTAGAGAAAAAAGATAGGTTTGTATATACATTCGGCAAGAAGCTGAAGGAAAAGCCACACACATCTTGTAAAATAAACAGAAAGACTCAATGAATCGTTATTAATTGTGTTGAACACACAGTTAGGTGTAAACATGGCCAGAATTGGAATGTCAAGTGGATGAGAAGGTGATTGAAGGAAAAACAAGACCCAGTGTCCAAAAACACAGAAGAAGCAGAGCAGGAGATTCCTCCAATTCTTCTATCAGCTATTGTAATTCTACGTTAGTCTTTTACAAATACACATCAGCTATCAGAATTCAGAGGTTTTGTATTTCAGTGACAACTTGAGGTTAGGAAAAGAAGCCCAACTTATCTCTTTTAATCTTGTTCATTTTTTCACTCCAGCTTAAAAAACATTTAGTAGTGGTGCCACACAAACAGTGTAGGAGTCAAAACATTAACTGTTCAAGGAAACACTTAAATGACTAAGAAAGCGAGCATCAATTTGTCTAGATTTACTTTCATTACTGGCACTTAAAATATTTTCATAAAATAAAGGGGGAACTGAGGTTAAAAACTAATATTTCTTTGAAACAGCTTTAAGTACTGATTGAGTTTTACAGGTTCTATAGGTAATTCATTCTCTGAAACTTTTATGAAACATGGAACAAAGCTCTAAAAAGCACTTCTATGAACATTACTTCATGCAAGATCACTCCCTTACTGTGGTTGTATAAAATAGTGAATGTGTCATTGTCAACATGACCAGTTTATGAACATGCAAGGTGTCAAGATATCGGAGTTCAGACTCAACTTTTAACATTTCATGGCAAATCAATGATAAGTTTATTACAAAAGTGAATTTAATAATCATTTACTTACTAGTATTAAATCCCAATTTTAGCAATTCCTCTCTTTGTTATAATTACAAATCCATAGACATCTTTTAATGTTGAGTTCTTTGTTCACATCAAAGGCTTTCTCAATTTACTGTTTTCAATTGCATGCAATCCACATATAAAGTTTGTTTTCTGTCATGAAAGGTTAATTGTGCTGTTTAAAATTTGAACTGTATGTAAGCATGACAGTAACCCCCCCACCCCACCCCAAAAAAAATTTAAATACCAATTCTTTTTTTCTGATTCAGATAGGAAATGCACAAAAACAAATATTAAAACATTTGTTGACCTGAAATATCACAAATATTGCTACATATGCATTAATCCTGGCTTAACTGCTTATAACTTTATCATAAAATACAAGAATTAATAAATCTCTTAATTTTTAAAATCATTTATTTGCATTTAATGTGTTTATTATTCATCTTAACTTGTTGAGAATCAGTTGCCCTTTATCATTATTAAATACATTACTGCTTTCAGCTCAAATAAATATGTGTACATTTTGCACAAACATGTGCATTTATCAATAATATCCCCCAGCTGTTAAGAAATTAATACTGATGTCTGAAAGTGCTTGGTATTCAAACAAGACCATTAACAATTATAAAATTAAGATGTGCAGTAAAATATGGGGATTGAAGGGAGTTTGTGAATTTCTTTTGCAAAGAGTGGCCATTTCATAGTTACATATTCCGCAGTGCAAAAATTTGCCCCAACTTAAACATAAATTGGGTAAATTTTGGTCTGGGACTATGAATGAGTAGGAGAGTCCACACTCCCAAGTTGTCAAAATAGTTCTTTCTAAGTCATTTTTATATTAAGTATATTCACGACAAAGAAGGGACACTGACATATCCCAGATTGTCAGCATATCTTTTGTCGATAAAATTTACCTGTATCTATTTCCAGTGACTCCATCTTATAGAAGTCCTAATATTCATGAACAGATAGGAAACAAAATCATGTTGAAAACAGAACAACTCACACCCTTAATATGTTCTATTATTGTCTCAAGGTTTTAAACTGCATGTCCATCCAGTAATCTGTGTGTTCATCTTTGTGTGGTCACTTAATCTTAGCTGTACATCTTTCAGGCATAGAAAGGCATGTTACATTTATTGTGTATATCTGCAGGTTTTGCAGTTCATGAAAGAGCTTGATGTGTGGACATGTAAACTTCAAAATATGTTTTTCAGAATTTAAGGTAATTTATGTGACTGGTGTGTCAATCAAAATTAAGAGCTAAATGTATTGTCTATTGCTTGATTGACAAGTGATATGATATTGCTCTCATATCAGGTACATTTTATGATTGTTAAAGTGGGGTTTTAAGAAGCAACCCATACTCATTAGCTTGCAATAGTACACTTGTATGATGTACACTTGCATTTCATTGCAAGTTTTTTTTTTTATGACTGCCTTACCTGAGGGTTCCAGCTCAGTCCAGTCGTGTGGAATTCTTTGATGTAGGCCATGGTCTTGTTCAAAGTGTCATTCCAGGTTTTCACCCAATCAACATGAGTCTGATCTCTGAATGCAGAATACATGTAATATTAAATTCATCTACATACCAATTCATTTTCAATTATACATGCTATTTTCTTTTCAAAATGCTCTTTATTTGCAATTGAAATTAAAAATATCACTATTAATTGCAATATCAATTCCTCCTCATGAAGTCAACATGGTGACTTGATCAGAGTGAGGTCATAGGTCACATCAGGTCAATGAGTAGGTTAGCTTGGGAGACCTCATTTCACTGTGATGACTTCTGACAGAGGTAATCAATGTTTATTACACTCTAATACTCACAACTTTATAGTATAGTAATAATAGTAATATAGTATGATTTAATTCAGGGTCCTTCTTACTATCTGAGTTCACCTGATCTCAAGAATATCTACGGAAAAAGAAAATGTTGGAAATTCTTTAGAAATTAATGCCCTAAGTAATATATTGCCAACCCCTTAGCCCCTTAGTTGAATACAACTGACTTGGTGGTGGTGGTGGGGGGGGGGGGGGGGGGGATGTGTTAGAACAGCATATCATGTACTAGATAAATTGTACGCTGAAACATGCTTTCAAAATTTAGAGTGAGATTTTCTTTTACTAGTGTATTAACCTATATAAAATAAACCTATGAAAAAAATCTGTCAAAAGCTATTCTGAGTCAGAAACCCCCCTAAATATAATCACTCTTAAAAGCTCAAATGTCTGTCGTATAATCACATGGTCTAAAAATTCCCTTTTTTCTTCCATGGAACATTCCATGAAAACAGGCAACACACATAACTTGGCACTTATCTGTAAAATACATTTGTTTCCCTTCAACTTTTTAAAATAATATTGTTTGACATATTTCACAGAAATTTAAATAAAACAAGCATAAATATGCATGTTTTTCTCATACCGCCTGTGAACTTTACCTAGAGATGTGTTTGTGCCAAATAGATTTCTACAAATTTCATGTAGGTGGATATATATTAATAGGAAAAATGAAAACGCATACGCGTTTTCAAACATTTGAATTCTGTTGCCACAAAAGAAAAAACAATCAAAAAGAAAATACTGGTATGTGCTATTCTCTAAAGAGAATGATGTCCAAGTAAGCAAATCTATAGATGTCATGCTATCTTTATGAAGGTATCAAACCCATGTTCTTTAAAGCAATATAAGATGCAACTTTGATGTCGGAAATTTTCATTGCAAAATTGTAATTTACTATTTCAATGACAGGAAAAAAGAATGTTTATAAACTTCTGTTGTTCATATTTAAGATAGAAGAAATATTTTTAAGCTTTGGTTGAAGCAGAATTACATTACTGTCATCCCGTACAAAATTGATTCCTTATATAATACAACATATTCGATTGTACAGAAATCTTTCTTCTCAAACAATTTTCATACTTTGATCAAAAAGTTCAATTTACATAAAAATTTATCAAAACAGCACATTTTAACAGCAATTAATTAAAAGTCTCAAAAATGCAGCTCATATTGCTTTAAATAATATTCCTAAATTATTAAAATTGAACCTGCTTCTTTGGATATGAATTCCTAATAAAATGGATCTCTTCTTTATTTTCCACTCTCTTTTCCTTTTTAACAATCTTTTATTCTTAAACACTTTATCACTTAACTTGTGAAAAGAATTTTGATGAAATCCTAAGAGTGTCTTTTGTTTTGACACTCTCCTTGTTGTTATTGTCTTTCGCATTTCAAACCTCAAAGTTCAGATTCTGAAAATTTTGAAAGCTTTAATAATGTGTCTACCAATTCAGAATCCTTTATAAAAGGTGTACACATCTCTAAAATCCTAATTTTCCTCATTGTGTACCACTTGTTTTAAACATTATACTGCAAGAGCAGACGTATTCTGGAACTTAGACTAAAGTATAGCATTAAAATGCCTCCTGAAATATATTTTACGTTGGTTTCAAATGTTTTACTCAGGAAGATAAAAATAGTTATAAAGGTCAATAGGGCAAGTTGATGTATAGTTAATTACTGAACTTAAAATCAGTTTTTATTTTTTAAACTAAGTTAAAAATATCAAAGAGATAGAGGTTTTTAATTAAATGTACATCAAAATACATTAACTCAATTAGTTGCCTTTGCTATAATTACATGACCTTTTCCATTTATATTTTAAAATGTTAAAAACCAAGATAGACAGTACGTCACAAGAAAATCATGATTTCCATTAGCATGAACAGATATATCTAAACAACCTCTATATGGTCCACACTATAGTGAAATACAATTTCTCCAGCCAATCCTTAATTTCGTATTTTTTTTTTAAATATAGATACAATATGGAATAAATAATGCACTGACAGGACAAATTGCTGACTGTAACTCTAAATGACCAGCCAAACCATTGCACACTTCATTTTTTCTCCCCTACTCAATCTTCAAAGATGATGAAACTAAGATGAGGTGTACATTCTGTCTTCTTATTGAACCATGGGATTTAAGTTTAACATGGAGGTTCGGTAAACACATCATTTTGGTCTTGTCAATGAGAGACAGCCAGAAAATTCATCTCTGCTGCATCTCTATTTGACAGGTTTTTTGAAGCATATTATTCAGTGCATTCTTGGTTAACCTAGTAAACTACCATGTAACACTAGCTCTTACATGTTCTGGGTTAGAGGTACTTTTAATTAAAAAATTAAAACAAGAGGCCCATGGACCACTATGCTTACCTGAATTATATTTCTATTCATGATAAATAAAAATGGATAAATGAATCCTGCAACCCCTTAAAGTGACTATACACTGAAAGTTTATAGATTCAACAATTTCAAGTTAAATTTAAAAGTATATTGACAGATTTTTGTAAACTGTAGTTCTTACAGAAGTTTTAACCTTTAATATAAAATCTATACCTCCAATGCCCCTCCCCACCCCCAACTCTTGAGGCATTAACCTATACAAGCTTTTCATATACACTACATGAGAATGTTTGCTAATTAATAGGAAAAATTGATGCTTTATGTAATTCTTTTAATTTCATATTTTTATTGAAGATTTTTTGCATCTTTCCTTTGAACTTGCATGTTAAACATTGACCCCAATTTGGCCCTCCTCCTGCCAAAAAAGACACTCTGACATGGAATAAGCTTAAACAATGCACTATATAGGAATGCTTTTAATTTAATTTGGTTTATTGTAGCCCCGCTAATCTTAAGAAGAAGATTTTTAAAGACTTTTTATTAGGGATGTCAACGAATAGTCGACTATTCGACTATCAGTCGAATGGACCAACGATCGAATAACAAAACGACATTCGAATAAATAAATTCAATAAAAGAGTGATAAAGAGATGGAATTCTCATCTTAAAATTGAGAAACCGTCTTTCCTTGGACACAGTCGATAAGATAATTTTCCTCATTAAAAACTGCTGACTTTACATGTAGATAGTACACTAATTACAAATGCTTCACTTCCTCGAGAATTATTTGTCAATTAATGTGTTGTTTTTGTAATAAAATAATCTCACTATCCTGGCTTTGTTTGTAAAATGATTAATTGGACTTGATCTCATACCATGTACCCATTATAGCTGTAACATGTTTGAACACTACGATGATTATTGTAAAATTAATATTCTTTTACAAATTTTAAAGACATTTTGATAGCCGGGACAAAAAGTATGTTCAACTGTTTAACATTATCAAAGACATCTGGTGTGTGGATAGTGGGTGTTTTACCCCCCCCCCCTCCAATTATTTTAATAAGCTTTAAAAATATATATTACTGTCATTTTTTATGCTTACTAAAAAACATCTTTACAGACCGATTTATGGACAAGATTTAGTTAATATAAACACCCTATCCACATTTTAGGTGCATGTGAACATCTCTGTGTAACATTAATTTTGTTGTTACTTTTTAATAAATTTGAAAAAAAAGGTTTTGGGGTTAAAAACGTCATGTACCAATGAGGTTTGAAATAAAATTTTATATTCCGAAAAAGATTCGAATATATTCGACTATCGTTCGAATAATGCAATCAAATATTCGACTAAAGAAAATAAATATTTTGACATCCCTACTTTTTATCTTTCTTTTATCAAATTCCCTTGTAATACTGGAAAACTAGTTGAAAATTTAAAAAAAATTACTGAACAGACAGGCAGGTATAGGCCTGACAAACTTTTACTTGTGCTCAGTAAGCTAAAATCTGTTAATTTTTATTCAAAGTAGCATAAAATTTTGCTCCTTAAAACTAAACATGTGAAAGAATTGAATGCTATAGGAATGCCCTAAATTATGTTTAATAATAATTTAATTTTTGTGTAAATTGTATTGTCTAAGATTTTCACAAGACTAGCTGATTTAGTGCAGCTTGTATCTTGGTAAGATGGAAACAATGAACAGAATATCATCCATCCAATGCAAGCAGGAAAGAGAAACTAGTAATTAATATCTTTAAATGCCACTACTATAGTTCAATATTAGGACTAATGTTTCAATTTGATATTACTTCTGAATTTCATGACTTGTAGCTATATACACTCTAGAAAAACTTTGATTAAAAAGATTTATGTTAGATTTTAAGAGGATGACATCCTAATCAAGATAAATCAACATACTTATCCTTGAATTCTTTAAGAACACGGTTTGTGTAAAACTGCCCAGCCTCCTGCATGTCCTTTACATATGGACCTGGAGTTGGGGACTGTCAAGCGGAAAAGATAATAAAATTGTATAATGCCCTGGTAATTAATGACAGTCATTCGTGATTTGTAAAATGTAAAGATACAAATAACACATAATCTTTTGTTGAATGCCATCATTAAATTGAAATTTAGTACAGCATATTGTCATATTTTAATTTACATTCTCCTACTACTACATAAACAATGAGTGTCCAAAATGGAATAAAATATATACTGTACACCCAAAAAAAAATTGGATCCACCACTCCAGTTTTAAAGTACTCACCACTCGGACCCAGCAAAGGGCAGGGAGTGACTCAGCAATGGCCGACAAGTGATTGAACTGTTTGCTTGGGCGGTTGTTATCTTTAAATGTCTAAAAAAAAATAAAAATGTAAAAATATTTCAGATATGCAACAGGAGTTACCCTTCTTTGGCCCTGCGTCTTTCATCTATATGATGCACATTAACTGCAGTGTTCATAACACAAGAGACAAAAAACATATTTTGTTGATTTTAACTCTTTGCCCAGCAGGATGTAGTAAAAGATTTACAGGTGTTTAAAATTAGCAGAGAATCTCGGCTCAGTGTTGGGTTTTTAAAGTGGTTAATTTTCAGCAAGACCAGTGGCCATCAATTTGGCTTGATCGATTGCAGCAATTCAAATTCTCGGTTTTTATCTTTTTTACTTTGGATTGATTTATTCAGCTCAAACTGATACAGTGAGGGTGTTAAAAGTTCAACTGCTTCCCTAAATCCAGATACATCATCAAGTTGAAAACATTTCTCACTTTTAAATAAACTTCTTGCAACTTTCAAGATTTTTGAACAGATAAATTCTTGAAAAAAAATGTCAGTTGTCTGCCAAACTCTGGATATAACATGAGATCATGTATCCACACTCCTGACACAGAGCATTGTTACAGAGACTTCAGATGAGTATGATATGGCTTTGTTAACAAACTAGAATCTAAAGTGCTCACATTTTTTTTAAGAACTTTATTTTTCTGGCCTTTTTTGCTGTGATTTCGACTTTTAATTCGAGACCTGTACAACATCTGCAGGTGTCTTTGGTCACGGTGGCCTGCCATTGCCACGTGCCATCATCATGCGAGTCTCCACGGTGGATGCTATGCATTAACCCTCATTGTTCTCTTACATGCACAATTAAACAACTCATAAAAAACTGTTAATTCAATAAAGATGATTTCTTTTGAACAAAAATGAGAACCTTAGGGGATTAATAACCTGATGAGTGCATTCCACCTTAATTATCATAAATCAGTGTTTATGTTACTTAGCTATATTTCTTTTTTCATTCATGCTAACTTTTTATAATATTATTTAGGATAATTCAATCAATTCTTTATTAAACAAAACTTTACTGATTTTTGTCTTGACTTACTTGAATGGGCAGGTTCTAAAAATTAATAACAACTCATGTACGACAAAAGGGATATGAATAACGATGCACAATACTTAGGACAAATAGTTCAGACTGTTGAATATTGACAAAAGACTACACCCCCCCCCCCCCCTTCCTCCTCTCCAGATGTTACATATATATCATCATTTCATTATCATTATAATTGTACCCTGTACATTAAAAGATGCCTGCCAAAGTAAATTACTTTATATAATTGGTCCAAGGGGATAAAAAACAAGAGGAAGAGATCATTAGAATGCCTTGAAGATAATGAGATAATCATGTATAACGTCTTTGCATCTACATTATGCAATGTTTACATGTGATGGGCCTATACGTTTGACAACTGTTTACCACAAACACATTCCTATGACCAGCCTGTCTTTCAAACTGCTGAATTGCCATTCCATAACTAAAATTTCATTTCTTTTTCAATTTAAGGACTCCATACAGAACCGTAAGTCAGGCTTTACAAGAATGCCAGACATGGTGGCAAAATTAGTAAAAACATATGTCTGATCCTGATTTCACGTCACAGAATAGAAATCTGAGAGCTACGTAAGCTGCATGGAAAATTCCCCACATACAAAATATTAAAACTTGCAGTTCCTTCAAACGGTACTCGAGGGTGGGACAAAATAATTCATATCCACCACCAACTGACAAAAGAATTTTTGTATCCTCTCATCCCTGAAAATATTTTCTTTTAATAATAATCATATTTTCTGTTCTGGTGTTTTAAGGAGGGAACTACCAAAAGTTATCTCTCTTTTAACATATAGGGCAAGCACCACATCTGGACATTTCATTCACTGGAATCATTTTGGCAGATTGATATCCCTCATTAATACGTCAGGAGAGCAAAACAGATCAGCATCAACATTTAGATTAAACTTTGAGTACATTCATTGTAAATTTAAAGACAATAATGAAAAGAATTTTAAATTTTTGTTAAAGGAAAAATGCTCTTTTCATCTAACTTGTTCTAATTTGCTCTTGTACATTTGAAGAGTTTGGTCTATTCCAACATGACTAGATTCTGATAATGATCAAGAGGGGTGATTCAAAACATTTTCTTTGATCTAGTCATGATTTACCACCACCCCACCCCAACCCTTTTATGCTCTCATTTTGTTCTACTTGTTGTTTCTTTCAGATTTTCCCCTCTCTTAAAAACTCACAATTCATAGTACCCAAAGCTAGTTGGACAATTGTTAATTTGTCCTTGACCTCAGTATAATACATGTAGCTCCTCTAGGTTAATTATCCACTTTTATTCCATAATGTTGAGACCATTTTTTGCTGACAAAGCATTGTAATTTTATATTTCCAGTGAACCAAGGACAATTTAGAGTAAAACTTATTTAATGTAATCAGTTTACAGCCTAGTAATAACAGATCAAGTTAATTCCCATCATCAAAAAGGATAAAAACAAAGTAGTGATGACAATGTTATTTGGTATAATTAGTTATTATACAGATATGAACTGAACCTTTCATTTCTGAATATAATACCCTGGACTAAAGTATCAGTATGTCTTGATTAATTAACTCTTAAATTATTGCAGATTCATGCACAGTACGGAAATAAATATGTACAAAGCCTGAATTTGTCTGAACATTTACCGGTATTGCAAAATCCAATTAATTAATGGTAGGCCTTCTTTGCAAAGTGTTAAAATCAAAATTCTAAAAAGGCTTCATTAGCATCAAACATGAAAAACAATTTCAAAAGTTTCTTTTTAATTAAATATAAAATTTAAAGATTGTTAACAAAGTATCACAATTCTTGGTATGGGTCTTTATTTCCAGGTCTGATTTGATCTGGGTCCGAATTAACCAGACATTTTCGAAAGTTAACAAACGTGGAAGCCTGTTCATATTGTTGAATAATTAATTCATATCTTTTCAGCTGATGAAGAGCTAGGAAGGATTCATTTTATTACTATTCTACTTGTCAATCTCTAAGCATTGCTATTTTAATTTGTTTTAGTTTATTAATATACACAACAATTTCAGAGACTGCACCTTAAGTAAGAATTATGTTCGGGTGTGGTATACCATGAAACCCAGTAATACTCCTAATCATTGACTCTTCCATGATAATGATAGAATTTATTGTTTGAAAAATTGTAAGGCTAAAGATTGAACTTTAAAAGTCAATGTTTCTAAACTTATTTGCCCATTAAAATAGTTTCATGATTATTTTGCTGCTTTGTTGTTTATTTTCTTTTTACTTGGTTTTCCTGCCCAAAACTGATGATTCATGTAATTTGATGCATCACTATTTATACCTTAATCCACAGCTACTAATCAGTAATGTGGCCACTTTTTCTTTAGCTGGAATAGACAGAGTATCTGTTGTTGTAACAGAATTAAATGTAGATATACTTGATGAAATGTATGGAGATAATGAACAGATTTCAAGCTCAAAAGTCCATTAAACAATACAATTTTTGGAGCAGAACAAACACAGACCTCTAAAACATCAGAGGTGAGATCAGGTGCCATGGAGGAGTGAGCATCCCTTGCTGACCGGTCACACCCGCCGTGAAATTTGTTCATTATGATTATTTTCAAAAAAAATTGATATGTTCTATTTTCCTTTGCAGATGCATCGAATGACACCTTTGGTTCTGTAAACACTCAAAGCTCCTCGCATTGCTCATACCTCACACTTGGTATGGAGCATAGCAGAGTTAGCCGAGGACTGCCGATTGTTGTATAAGGCCAGTTTTGATCCCTAGAATGGCTTTCGACCTTTGGTTGATGCCATAAAAATTGTTATAAGAAAATCACTGAAATTAGTTGGTACCTTTTGATATACATGTATTTTATACACAAACTTGCGGAGCAATTCATAAACTCTGTGAATCATGTGAAGGCTATGAGGGACTTCAAATTAAATAATTATTAGTATTGTGTAACCTTTTTCCATGTTTAAAACTGACAAAAAAAACCCTTTGCAGTTGGTGTATTGTAGAAAATGTAGAAAAACATGTTTATAACAAACATGAGTATCATGATCAAATTTTAGCTTACAATGAATTGATATTGAACCCTCCCCACCCCTATCCCCTTTCCCCTCATTTAAAAAAAATAAAAAGTATGTGGATTTAACAAATTACAGAAATAATAACCAATACAGTAGTCTCTGGTGTTTTGCTGTAACTTAATTTGAATGATCTCTTTAAGTAGGGCAGTGATGATTAAGTACATGTAAGTTTGTAATTATCTTACCACTGCCTCTTCAATGGTTTTCTTCACTGGATCAAACAGCTTTTCCATCACAGGCTAAAAGGAAGTTAAGAACTGATTAGATATGTGCATCACTGGCTAAAAGGAAGTTCAGAACTGATTAGGTATGTGTATCACAGGCTAAAAGGAAGTTAAGAACTGATTAGGTATGTGTATCACAGGCTAAAAGGAAGTTAAGAACTGATTAGGTATTGTATCTAAAAGGAAGTTAAGAACTGATTAGGTATATGTATTGCAGGCTAAAAGGAAGTTAAGAACTGATTAGGTATGTGTATCACAGGCTAAAAAGGAAGTTAAGAACTGATTAGGTATGTGTATCACAGGCTAAAAGGAAGTTAAGAACTGATTAGGTATGTGTATCACTGGCTAAAAGGAAGTTAAGAACTGATTAGGTATGTGTATTACAGGCTAAAAGGAAGTTAAGAACTGATAAGGGATGTATATCACAAGCTAAAAGGAAGTTAAGAACTGATTAGGTATGTGTATCACAGGCTAAAAGGAAGTTAAGAACTGATTAGGTATGTGTATCAAAGGCTAAAAGGAAGTTAAGAACTGATTAGGTATGTGTACTGCAGGCTAAAAGGAAGTTAAGAACTGATAAGGGTGTGTATCACAGGCTAAAAGGAAGTTAAGAGCTGATTAGGTATGTGTATCTAAAAGGAAGTTAAGAACTGATTAGGTATGTGTATCACAGGCTAAAAAGGAAGTTAAGAACTGATTAAGAATGTGTATCACAAGCTAAAAGGAAGTTAAGAACTGATTAGGTATGTGTATCACAGGCTAAAAAGGAAGTTAAGAACTGATTAAGAATGTGTATCACAGACTAAAAGGAAGTTAAGAACTGATTAGGTATGTGTATCACAGGCTTAAGGGAAGTTAAGAACTGATAAGGAATGTGTATCACAGGCTAAAAATGAAGTTAAGAACTGATTAGGTATGTGTATCACAGGCTAAAAGGAAGTTAAGAACTGATTAGGTATGTGTATCAAAGGCTAAAAGGAAGTTAAGAACTGATTAGGTATGTGTACTGCAGGCTAAAAGGAAGTTAAGAACTGATAAGGGTGTGTATCACAGGCTAAAAGGAAGTTAAGAGCTGATTAGGTATGTGTATCAAAGGCTAAAAGGAAGTTAAGAACTGATTAGGTATGTGTATCACAGGCTAAAAAGGAAGTTAAGAACTGATTAAGAATGTGTATCACAAGCTAAAAGGAAGTTAAGAACTGATTAGGTATGTGTATCACAGGCTAAAAAGGAAGTTAAGAACTGATTAAGAATGTGTATCACAGACTAAAAGGAAGTTAAGAACTGATTAGGTATGTGTATCACAGGCTTAAGGGAAGTTAAGAACTGATAAGGAATGTGTATCACAGGCTAAAAATGAAGTTAAGAACTGATTAGGTATGTGTATCACAGGCTAAAGGAAGTTAAGAACTGATTAGGTATGTGTATCACAGGCTAAAAGAAGTTAAGAACTGATAAGGAATGTGTATCACAGGCTAAAGGAAGTTAAGAACTGATTAGGTATGTGTATCACAGGCTAAAAGGAAGTTAAGAACTGATTAGGTATGTGTATCACAGGCTAAAAAGGAAGTTAAGAACTGATTAGGAAGTTAAGAACTGATTAGGTATGTGTATCACAGGCTAAAAGGAAGTTAAGAACTGATTAGGTATGTGTATCACAGGCTAAAAGGAAGTTAAGAACTGATTAGGTATGTGTATCACAGGCTAAAAGGAAGTTAAGAACTGATTAGGTACATGTATCACAAGCTAAAAGGAAGTTAAGAACTGATTAAGTATGTACATGTATATTAAAAAAAATCAAAGGTTTTATTCTAAATAGAATTTGATTCTTTTTTCATTTTGAGCATGTTGGATTCATATTGTTTTCATAGCTGATTGTCTTTAAGGGTATTGATAGACTTTGGGGAAATCAGAAGGCTTGACTTTTGCTTTGACCTTTTTTCATTTGTGCCTTTTTTTCTCTGCATCAATTAATTCACTAAATATCCAAATTAGTGTATTATAATGGTCATATCAAATCTCTCAATTTTTGACCTTGATCTTTGACCATTGACTCTAAACATGTTTTTCTGTATAACAATAAGTCAACTTCATGTACTGTAAGTATATAACTAGAGGGTTCAATTATGTGTTACTATACAGTTAGAGTACATCACTGTGTCGGCTTCGCCTCAGGAAATAGTCCTGGCCTTGGGGAACAGGAATCTTTCTAACTCCCGCAATGATATACTTTTAACTGATATAAACGTAAAATTTAGAGGATTCAGATAGCGTGATTTCCAAGCAGGGATTAGCTCACTGAACTAACACAACGGGATTAGTCCGCTCACATATCATACCAATGTAAAAGTAAAATCTAGAGGATTACGGATAAATGGAAATTAGCTTTTGAAGCAGGGATTAAGTCCACTCATAACGATTTCTAGGGAATTAGTCACATCTAACGATCTAATGTTATATAGGGAAAAAATCAGTAGAGGTATAATAATTCAAAATAAGGCCAACAAGATTAAATTTCTTTAAAATAAATTCTGTTGAAAAACTTCATGTTTGCGAGTTATAGTGAGAGAGCTAGCATTATGTTATATTGCCATGAAACAAATGCAGTAATTCATAGATAGATGCAAAGTCTATCTACAAGTATTTATATATATAACAATGCATATGCTTTCATCGCAGAGATAGAGTAAACACTACACAATGGGAATATACGTTCAGGGAAATTTTTCTTCCTTGACAATTTTTCTATTAAATTTGAATATTGTTCATTCTTTAAATTCTCTTACAAGGATGTGCAGACTTGTATCAAATTAACAATAAAGAACTTTTCTCACAATTTCTAAAAAATGACAAGGAATATAAACTCTTATGTCCTTTAAAATAAAACAATCAGCAGTTTCATATCCTTGCAGAAATAGTATTTTTATAGAGCTAACTGAATCAAGTAATGGATAGGACAAAAATTAATTATTTCTAAAGTCACTAAATTCATTGAGGATGTATTTACTTGATGTTTAAACCAATTCTTGTCATATCATGGTATAACTACTTACTTCGCTGGGTTTTTTGCTTCTCGAGGCCACATATATGTAATCTCTCAGGTTCTTGAAACCTCTCTGGACAATATCCCCCTGGAAAATAATTACTTGAAATATTAACTATTGGAAAAATGTGAATTGTAGCAAATGTCTGACATGGTTTTTTAAGTTATAAGCTTGCTGTGTGCTGTTCCCTAGCTTTAAAAGGATAGAAGAGATTTTTTTCAGGGATAAAGGGGTCATATATAATGCACATTTCTCTCATTACTACTATATGTTTCATCATTCCCGTACAGTGATTCATTCTTTGGTTTTCTAACACATTTAGTTAACACCTATTATGATATTACATTGTTACGAGTGCTTTGTGCAGTAATACTTTATGTGCACTTAAAAAAGCGGGCTACATATTTTAGCGGCTTTGGTGCTGACACCAATGCGCTAATTCATAAATACCGCTAAGAAACCATTTATAAATACAATGCACTTCATGGACATGTGTGGCGCTAATTCATGATTACACCAACAACTCCATATCCAGTGATTGCGCTAAATTTTGAATACGCGGCTAGGATAAGGCTGTCCGAAGAATGTCACAGTGTACCAGCCATAGTAACTTCTCTGAACTACCTAGATATGACATCATAATGGCATATGACATCATGTCACTATATACTTGAGCTGACATGACGGGGAAAGTGTCATAACTTTTACATTCCTTTCACATCACATGTAGATTTTTTTTACGTTGATGTTTAATTCATGTGTCTGGATTGTTGTTTTAAGGCTGTAATGATGGTTAGATGGTGAATATTTGCAGTATAATATCGTTATAACTTTTTCTTGTCTAACATTTACGTATTCAAACAAAAAAAGAATGTGAAATGCCCCCCTTACGTGTCTGTAGACAGAGTTAGAATCTATAAATCTTGAATATATTAGACTGGCACAAGTGAATAATAAGGATTAATAGAAGATATTCTGTGTGAATCTACTAGAGAAATATGTCCTCTAACTGAATTTTGCTGGGGGATTGTATGTAATTTATCCTACTTTGTATAAATTGCGATGAAGAGTGGAAAATGACCCCTTGTATGTGGGTAAGTTGAATTTCTCGTGAAATATTCTCTTATGAAATAAAATTCAGACTTGCCCCCAGCACTTTATATATACCCAAGAATACGTTTAATTGATTTATGTAACAAGCCATTCACAATAATTCTGTTTTTCACTTGTGCCGATGCAATTTTTGTGCAACATTTAAGAAAATTTATAAGTGTCCGTCACCTGATCAACAGTCATGTGACATCACACAAATGCTTTTCTGTAATACCTTATTCAACTTTCTTTAAAACTTAACTATGTATGTATACATAGATTACAAATTGAAATCAAAACATTACTCAATATAAAATAGTATATATTTAATGCATATTAAGCCTTCGGACAGCCTTAAACTAACTGTGTACGCCAATTTATGCACACGTACAGTAATTCATGTACTAATAGTTTGGAGAATTTTAGTAAAGGGGAAAAAGTTCCATTAAGTGTGCTCTTTAAAGTTACAGTAAAACTTATCATAGTAAAGTCCTGGGGACATGTGAACTTACTTTTCTATATCCATAATTTGCTATATTCATGTTCGTACTAAACAAGTCTTACTCTATCAGTTTTTCTTCCATGCAACTCATTCCTTAAGTTTAAATTGTCAATAGACACTTGACAAGCCTTGTATCTATATATGGACAATTTTAAGAGTAAGGAACCTGAACTGAAGAATAACCTAAAACTAACTCTCACAAGTTATGGAGTGAAGCTCAAGCTGACCCTAATTAACCCCCAATTCATTTAGTACTCACCGCTGTTTTAACATCGCCTTGGATTTTGTTGCTAAGTTCTACAAACTTGTCAACATTGCTTTTCATAATTTCATCAAAAGCACTCACACTTGGTGTAACTTCACCTGAAAGTAGAAGAACTGGTATATTGTTACATGAACAAACTGAAGAAAGCATTTTATTGTTTAAATAATCATGCCAGAAACTTTTTTCTGTCCTACCAAAGTGGAATTTTTCTCTAACTGAAGCAATTTGCCTTAATTATGGGAATAGACCAAATTGCAATGATGAATTTCAATTTTTAAAAACTTAGATATAGGCTATCTTCCATCCAGAGTTACAGTAACACATAAGCAGTCATTCTGCATAGAGTTAAGAGAGAACGTTGCATATATATAGCTCCTGTTTTCAAAACAGTGGAAGACCTTGATAAATGTCATCTATAAATGAGACTCTCACACCAATGAATATTGAATATGAAATAAGTTTTGATTATTTCATAAAAATAGGGCCTTAATTGGCAAATATCTGAAAAATGCAATTTCTGAGACAAAATCTATAGTAACTGTGTCCTTCTGAAGATGGATCATTTAAGTAACATTGCTATTTAGCTCAACATTATAAACGAATGGTTCTGCTTCAAACATTTCACCTGCTCACACATCCAAAGCAAAATGTATGCAGTAGCTAATGTCAGACCAGTATTTTGTGTCCCTAAATGCATTTCATACAAATAAAAAATGTCACTCCTAAGAAGTCACAACAGATTATGACAGTATTAGTATAGTTGTATCAGACTTCCTTATCCACTGAACAAACATCAAATCTTATATTGTTTATAAAACGATGATCCTATCATCATTCCCAACTTCAAGGATATGATTACTTAGAGTCTATGTATGTGTCATTATGGTTATATTTATGAGCAGGAAGTGAGAAATTATTCGTTGTTGTCGGCAAATACGAGGGTCGTTCAATAAGTAATGCAACCTACAGTTTATCATAATAAATGTAGAAGCACTTCATTCTACTTTTTCACAGTTGAGAAGTATTTTAAGAACTCATAATCACCAAAAACTGCATGCTTTTTCCTATAGTCTTTACAAAGAAATTCACTTTGAAAGTAAGCATGGTCACTAAACTGAACTGTTAACACTGGTCTCTGGCAAGAAGATGAAAATGAGGGCGCATGTAAAAACTGCACTCCATTACAAAAATCACTGAAAAACCAACATGAAAGATGTGGACTTGAAAAACATGCCTTTCAAACTGTTCAGGGGGATTAAGAAATCCAAAATTGGAAAAGGTCGAGTGTTACAAGATTGTACTTGAACTGGTTGGTCAAAATCTGTGGGGGCATGCACCAAAAATTTTGATGCAGTGAGAAATATATTTGCATGAAAATGTGTGTTTACCGTGAAGGGCATTGGTAAGGCACTAAACATTTAATCATCACACTGTATAGAGTTCTGACAAAATATGAATCTGAATATTTCTGTATCAGATGTCTGATTTCCTTACAGATGCCTAAGAGAAAAGTGTGTTAAACTTCCAATGGTCTATTAAAAAATACACATTATTACAAAAGAAGGTATGATAAACTTGGGAGTTGGGTGTCAAAACACTGGTGCCTTTTTTATTGCAGAAAAGGAAGAATTAATGATAGAAAGTGGAATCAGATAGAAATCTGTCATCTTATCATTGCGAAGAGAAGCCAGAGCTCCAAATATGTCTCATACAGGTTAACCCTTTAGTCAAGAAGTCAAAAAATAGTGCAAACTTTTTTATATGTGGCAAGTCATCATAAAAATAATGTAAATATAAGATATGAATTAAGCTAATGCGCTTCATGAAATATGCCAGCGTGAAGTGTCATAGTTCATGTCCTCATGAATTCTCATTAATATAAATTCATCTCTTAATTGAATGACCCTAGTACATACTTCACATATGTATCACTCAGGATCATCAAAACCATTTCATACTATGTAACATATTATGTAGATATCAAGCTTGAAGTTTGAAAATAGTGATTATTCTATTAGTTTCATTGACATCTTTGTTCTCTAAAGCATATACATGTACCAGGGTGTCTTTTTTTAAAATTTGTTTTTGCACTGTAAATTTCTATAATATGTTTGTCCAGATTATCATTCTGTGTGTACAATTACTTCAGGGATTTCCATCTTTGAAATTTTACTGTGGCAGAGGCTTTACGCAAAGCACTCATATTTGCAATGTTTTCACGATCAATTTCACATCTAACCAACTACAAACATGCACTCACATTCAAGCCTCTTTTGAATAACTACCTTGATACAAAAATAGTTTGATTTGCATTATAATAAAAATTGAATACAGGGATTTTGAAATGATTATTTAATTATATACATACTTTTTTCTTCTAAATTATCTGTATAACCAACACATACAAATAAGAAGATCTATATATCCCCTCATCCCCCCCCCCCAACACACACACACACACACACACACACACACACTCGCACCACTTTTTCATTCAAAAGAATCAATACATTGAAAAATTGCTATACAATTTTTAACAAGATCTGATTATCAGAAAATAATTCACCTTTTACACATGTCTAAGAATTGGAATTGTACTTGTTAACTGTATATAATTTAATTCTGGTTGTAATGCGGTATTGGATTGGATAAAAAATTTACTTTACTTTGTATCGCATAAATTGGGTTGCCTACATCACAATGATCCGCCTGACATATTATATTTAAATTTTTGCAATTTGAAGTCATTTTTTAAGGGCAATCATCTTTTTTCTTACACTAAATGAATGAAAATTAAATTATAAGGAATGAAATTACTAGCTACCTAATTCATACGGTATAAACTGGGTTTGAACAGTTCACACTTTTTTATAAACTGCTTTGTGGTTTATAAAGCGTATACTGCCCCAACCCAGTTTATACTGTACAATGGGTACTTACTACTAAATTCATTCCTTAGAGAAATTACCATACTCAGTCAACAGACAGAGGATATGTGCAGAAAAGATGTGCATTTTAATATACAAAAAAAAAACAATGTTTGAATAGGGTTACAGAAGTGACAAATCTCCCCACTCTTTCCTCCATTGTAATACAGCAGGAATTTATAATATTTGCTATATCCAACTTGAGTTGAAATGGTGTATATTCGTGAGGCTAATTGATCGAAAATATACACCATTTTAATGAGTTAGATATAGAAAATATAAAATCACACAATTATACGTTTCTTTTTATCTCATACGATTTTAGTTTTTAACAAAACGTTGAGATAACCCCTATCTGTAAATCTATGTTCAAATCGATGATGCATAAATTGATGACGTAGCTCTGTTGATGTTGACATGCTGAAAGAAAGTTAGGTCCTATTTATGGATAAAAAATATGAAATTTGGAATGATATTTGTTGCATCTTTTAAAACATGCATGACAATGTGCTAGAGATTTATTTCATACAAACTTTTGACTACGAGAATAACAACAGAGGAATCATGAATCCTAGTTCTCTGATTCTGTGTATGGTGATAGTGCTCTTGTAGACCTATGGTTAGTTACAGACTTATACATTATTGTACAATAACATGTATAATGGAAGAAAGCATTGTAGTTGAAAGCTAGTGGCTAGACATTCCTACAAGGTCAAAGGAATACCAACCATTTAACTGCTAGCTATGCCCAACATTACCTATGAGAATGATTAAGGGGGAGGGGGGGGCATCCATTATATCAGGAGCCAATACATGATACATTGTTAAAATTGACATTTCTTTGAGGTATAATGTTTTGTTTTAACGTACATTTTTGCTCATTTATTTACTTTGAAATGCATGAAATGATGTTTATCAATTTATACATTACCTCCATCACCCCCAGAGGAAGATTTACTGGGCACTGAGACAGAGGATTTCTGGGCCAGGGTCTCTAGACGGGTAGCCACAGCCTCCAGTCGATTAACAGCTGACTGTAACTCAGAAGAAGACATGATTCCAAACACTTCCTTCCCTGTCTGCACTTCCTGTTCTTGTAATTTTGGCTTTTCACCTTGTCCAGGTAAAGTCTGTAGAGGTAAAACTTCCTTTTGGAGTTGAACTTCCTCTTGCTGACCTACTTCCTGTTTGGGATCTACTTTTACTTTCTGTTCTGGCTGATCTGAATTGTTATGAAATCCCTCTGTCTGAGATTTGGTATCTGAGGTTACCTCCTGTTCGCTGTGTATATTTGCTGGAATGTTGTCCTGGTGTTTTGTCTGTAAAGAGTCAACATCTGCTTCATCATCATCTGACATAGCACAACAACACATCATTTTGATTGTCTCCTACTTATCCAAATATACCAAAAAAATGAGAAAATGGCCCTATAGAAACCACTGCTTAAGAATGTAACTATTCTGATTCACCAAAATATTTGCTGTGCAAGTCACTTCAATGATCAATCAAAAAAGATGCCCACATATATCTTAGGCACAATCATTCTCCCAGCACATTCCAGGGTCTGCTAGTGCACAACAACACACACATCACAGGTTAATAACGTAATACACTTACTCCCAATTTCCACTGACTTAAAGCATAATAGCAGATCACTCTAGAGTTTACAAATGGCAGCAAAAAATCACACTGTAATGTCTGTACTCCCTAAATCCATGGCAACACCTTGCAAGAATCACTACAGAGATAGATAACATATTTCATGTGTCAGTGTAATTATTATCCTCCCCCAATTAAACACCAATCAAGTCACAGCCTTCATAAGATATGCTGTGCACTTTTCTCAGCATGATTTAATCACTTTGACTAGTAAATAAAAACCTTTATTAACATTCCACTTAATGTTACTGGCCTCAGGTAAGCAGACACTGGGGGCCCACAAAAAAAAATACATGTTTACTTTAAGGTTTCCAGCTCCCCAGGTAAAAAGACAGATGTGCTTTAAAAAAATAATAAATATATGTAAAACAAGAGGCTCATTAAGGCCACAATGCTCACCTCAGTCACTTTGGCCATGTTGTTAACCACCTGATTTTTTTTTTCAAATTTCCCTCTTTAATATCATAAAATTTTTGACTCCATATTGTGCACCAACATCTAACCCTATGAGAGCTATGATTTAAGCAGTTGAAACTCAACATTAGGATGCTTCAACATCCAGACAATAGCTCTGCTGCTGTAGAGAAAATTTTCCTGTACAAATGCATTGCGCGGGTATCAACATTACCGCTACATTGCGAAAAATTTCAACTCATTACCGCTACATTATTTCAAATTTTCGGGCGATCATTACTGCTACATTTTATCAAAAGGACTAATGCCGAAAACAACTCATTACCGCCACATACCGAATCGGCCAGTAATGGCATGGAATATGAGTTCCATTCAATATAATTCACTCTGTCTCACCATGTAGTGAAGTACAATTTGGATCTGAATTTTAATCAAAATGAATACATATAAGTCTGTAGTCGATTTAGCGTCAGATGAATGTCATGGCTACTATTGAGAAGTTTGTGACAAATTGCGGCAATGCAGGATTAGTTATCAATGGATATAAATTTTTTTATACATAAGACTTTTTAACACTCCAAATTGTCTAAAGAATGTGTAAAGACTGTTTGTTTTATCTATGGACAGTGCTTGATTTTAAACTTTTTTTGTACAAATTTTATCAAATGATAGAATTTCAATTGTTCAATCTGACACAACAAAAATTGTGGGGGGGGGGGGGGGGGGCACAACCAGCACCCAGGTCCCTAATGAAAATTTACATATTAAAACAGCAAGACTATACACAGAAAAAAGTGGGTGGTGGGGGATGGGCATCTCCTGACCCCTGGGCATGGATTCCACATAACTTAGGTTTGTTCTGCTCTTTAATAACATTTCTTCTTTTGATAATGCCTGAGCAAAGAGAAAATTTGGACAGAACACATGATACATCTAAACAATTTTTTTTGCAGTCAGAGATTTTCCCCATGCAAGGCTGAGATTTTGCTCCATTCGCAATCACAAAATTCTTCTGTTTTTCCTCCCAAATCCCCATTTTTTTAAAAATAATTATACCCTGTATGGCAGGCTTTGCACTTAAGCAAATGATTGCAATTATGTGTAAATATATTCATGTAATGATGTTAGCAAATCTTGCTGTATAAATGCATTTACATATACATATGCAAAAAATACTCCTGCAAGCATATTTGCACCTAGTCAGGGACAGGTGCAAATCTGTTTATTCATATGCAAAAGCAAATATTCTGCTAAAGGGTTCGATTAATTGGAGAAAGCTTTCTAGCAAGCCTTCTAAGGATGAAAAGATCAGACTCAGTCTGTAATTCTTAATTCTAAATTTCTCCAACTACGTTTGATTTAATTTTATAATAACATATAGCCTAAGATAAAAAGATAATATTTATTCCAAGTTGGGTTTTGACAACAATAAAACATAGGTAATCAGAGATTACAGAGCTCACCTCAACGAATGTTGTCTTTAAGTATAATAAAGACAAAGTCCCAAACTAATAATTAAGTAGTGTGCATCCCTAGATCATGTAGTAGGAGTGAAATGGTTCACCGCGGTATCGATTCACCGCAGTATTTTTTCTCAGTTTGATACATGGTGCAAAATCTCTAATTTTCGGGTTCGCTTCATTTTTCAGTTGGGATTGTTATTCATGTTTGGGATAAGGTAAAACACATTACTCAGTATAAGTAAGTATAGAAAACATAAATGTTTGAGGACTGATAGTTTGCAAAATAATTTTTGACAGTCAAATAATTCTAATGAATTTCTTCTAGTCAATTTGCAAATAAAATTCATAAATTAAGTCACTAGATTTAGTAAAGGAAAGCATAAAACAACGCTGAATTTGTTTCCTTCTATCAAAATGTATCGTATCGAAAATAACCGTACCGAGACAAAATTATACAATACGAACCGTGAAGGAGGTGTATTGTTTCATCCCTATCATGTAGATGTAGCAATTATGCAATTTTGGTCCGATAGGGTTTGCAGTAACTTGGGAATGGACTTACCTAAAAACTTTAAACTAGTCACTCACATTTGTGGATGACTGTAAATTTATACAGGCCGAGTTTTTTAAATTTAACAACTGATAGAATGCAACTTCCTCTTATGATCCATTCCCAATGTGTTATGATATCCTCCCCTGCGGCCCAGCACAGAGGAGTCAGATTCTATTTTTTGGCCATTATGCCTTTTTATGCTAGGGCATGTGACTCAACCTAATTTCAGAAAAGAAAATTCGAGATTAGAGATTCCATTAGAAATTCCTTAACTTTTTCATTCATGTGCATAATTAATAGTTGACTGTATGAATGGACCCGAGAATCAATCTTCTTGAAATGTTAGATGAGGGAAAAGTAAAATGATATATCGGATATATTTTTCAACATTTATGAAAAGAAAGCTTGAAAATATTGAATCTAGGGTTAATCATTATTTTTCAATTATTGACAGTATCTCTGGTTAAAATATGAACGATGCATGAAACTGTGATTATGATTATCATTAAATCTGATATACCTTATTCTAATTCTTCTCCCTTTCACTTCAGTTCCACCGGCTTTCACTTTGCTTCCGCATAGAGGGCGTGTCTTGCCGGAAGTGAAAATTCTTTCCCACAATCCTCTGCGCTGAAATAAATTAGGTTAGCAAGCCGGCACTTTTGCGTTAGTCATCAAGTCAGAACCAGAAGAAAAATGGCGAAACCTAGAGTTTTCTTCGACATCGCACATAATGGCAACAACATAGGTCGTATTGTTATGGAATTGCGTCCTGACGTAGTCCCAAAAACGTCTGAGAACTTCCGTGCACTGTGTACAGGTACGTATTTCATTATGCACGCCGCTCCGCCATGTGTCTTTTGTTTAGTAGAATGGCGGGAAGGTGGCATGGTAATATTTAAACAATGCATGTAAACAATTTCATCAACGAAAATACGGAATAAATTAGACAAATGATTGAATTAAATAATGGTAATAGAATGTTGTAAAAGTGAAACTTAATTTTTTTAGCTTCCGCTTTCGAAAAAGGGGGGGGGGTTAAGTAGTAAGTATATTATTTAAAGTCGGTACTTTGTATATGATTTACATGAGCTCTATAGAACTCTTAAACCAACCAGGTTTGGAATATTTATAAACCAAGACCTAAGTACCTGTAATAAATCCCGGACCGGGAATTCGGGTTTTTATTAATTACTGGAAAAAAACAAGATGTGTTTTTGAAACACTGATGCCCCTGTATGGCAAATTATAGCAAAGGTTAAACTTTCTCAAATGCAAATCAAATATGTTGATACCCAAAGTAAGGTCTTGTCTCGAGGAGTATACCTGTGAAATATGAAAGCCCTAGCAGCAACCATTGAATAGATATAGAAAAGGTTAAAGTATTTCAAAAGTAAGTCAAACATCAAGGTCAAGGTCAAAATTAATGGTGCCTAAGGAAAGGCCTTCTATCATGAAATATACAGGTGAAATATGAAAACGGAAGCACCAATCGTTCAATAGTTATGACCAAGGTTTAAGTTCTTCAAAAGTAGGTCAAACTCCAAGGTTTTTATTCTAATTATCTTTAATCAGAAGCTATTCACAAAAGCGGAAACCTTCTTGGACTTGTATATAAGTTTGATGAAGAATAAATGAGTATTTCATTCAGTAATTAGCAAAAACCCTTTTTTTTCAATTTGGAAATTCCCAACCAGCCCGGGTTTTGCTACGCATTTTAGCCACACTCATGAAAGAGGATACAGATTGGGTCAAGAAAAATACAAGAAAAGTAGGAGAAAGGTGCTTTAGTTCTACATATTCATTCAACTAACAAACCTTCCCTAAAACTGAAAAGTTGTACGACTTGAAAATGGTAGAGAACAGTATACAGACCCATAGTGTATGTAGAGGGGGGATGTTGTGAAATCCAAATCTGGGAGAGGGACAGGGCTATATATATTTACAGACTACTACACATCTAAACCAGAATAGCAATAGTCTCATCACAGCCTTCTGGTTAATACAGTATAAATGAAAATACACTGAATAGGTTTTTGCAGTGAATTTTATCATAGTTGCAACAACTATAAAATATATTTTGAATAAATATATAATGTCTCTACCACTTCTTTTAAGGTGAAAAGGGCTATGGCTACAAGGGGTCTATTTTCCACAGAATAATTCCTGGTTTCATGTGCCAGGGAGGTGACTTCACAAACCACAATGGCACTGGAGGAAAAAGTATCTATGGAAATAAGTTTGAAGATGAAAACTTCCAGCTGAAGCACACAGGACCAGGTAGGAATGCATTTTTGAAAGAAATTTTCAGAGCACATAAAACTGTGTGCAATTTTTCATTAACCAGTGTAAATATTTTTCTTCTTACTGTGCTAAAACGTCTCTAGTTGTTTGTTAAAAATGAAAAATTAGAATGTGAATTTACTGATTTTATTAAACCTAAAGACCTAATTTTTGTATCATATAAAGGATGATGTGACATAACTGCTATCTGGGGCCCCTTTTTCTACGACGAATTATATTAAATCTTCAACAATTTTGATAGTTTTCAAACATAAGTGAATAAATACGACGCCTTTTGAATAGTTTCAATAGTTCCGACACATTTTAATCATAAGGATTACTGCATTATCTATGATTTTTTAGACCCTATGACAGCAACATTCGGCCAGGTTTGTGAAAATATGTTCTTTTATGAAAAGAGAATAGGCGGGTCTTAGTACAATAGAGGGATATGCATGTCTGAGAAATTTACCTTATATGGCTATTGTTATTATTTCGCACATAGTCGCTTACTGAGAACAATTGTCCAATCCGATGACAGAACGACAAAACATGCTGGTTTACTAAATGTTTACATTTTATCACAGACACGTGGTTTAGGTCAATTTACACCTATCACTACTACATTTCAAACTTTTAATGGTCAGCCAAGACTGTTTATACATAATAATACACATGGAACCTCAGCGTTTACCGTTCTGGGTCAAGAAATGCACATTGAACTTGTACTCACTGATACTCGGGAATACGTGTAGACCTAGCGAAATGCCCACCAAACGTTTTACAAAACTTTAAATTATGTATATTTATAAATCAATTGTTTGTACCTGTGAGCTGGGAAATTGTAGATCCGTGCCTAATCTGTGACTCAAATGCATAAAAAATTGTTTATCGGAAAGTAGGTAAAAAAGCCTTTTTTCCAAGCATAAAATTTCCTTAGTATTTTTGTGGTACTCACTCGTAATGCATCTCATTTAGCTGATTGGTCAGTTAGAAAGTATCGCCAGTGCCTCGATTAGCATATGAATTTATTCTTGCGTCAGAAAAAATAGTTTCGTCGATCTGTTCATAATAGGAAAGGCCAGCTAGATTTTACCATTTTTTAAAAAACAACATGTGAGCGCAGTTAGGTACATTTTTCTCCTTTCACATATAGGTAGATTTCAATAAAATACAGTGACCAGCCAAAGTAGAAAAATGTACCTACTTGCGCTCGTATATTTTAAGAGCTTCAAAGAGGGGTGGGGCCAAAATTCAATGGGAATCTGATGTAAACATGGTACCCCTACCCAAATGAAAGATCTGTATCTTCCAAATTACGCTTCTATTTTTGTTAAAAGTAGTTTTCCATAAGGGAATACATATCAGTGATTAGTTGCATGCAAAAATTAGAGAAAAATTTGGACATTTAATTTTTTGTCAATTTACCGGGGGCCGTATGTCACATCATCCTTTGAAATGAATGTTTGAAGATTTTGAATGAATAGTAAATTACAAATATTCAAATGGAAATTTAGCTTAGGGACATTTAATTCAGTCATATATCTGTTACATGGCACAGCACACTTTGACTTTGGTTGAGTTGCATGTAAATGAACTTGTAATGTTTCAAAATATTATAGGTGCATTTTAATGCCTCAGTCATGGCATATAGTGTTACCCTGTTCCGTCATTCTGTTATTCCATCATCATTGACTTTCCTTTCATTATCTCAGCAACAGTTGCACACATTCAACTCAAATTTGACATATGCAGTGATGAATCTCTTCCGATATTTAGCAGAATTCCGCTAATTTGAATCCAAGAATCCGATATTTATGAGTGCTTTCCTATATTTCAATACCTTCGATTTTTGCAGCGATCTGTTTCGACTTTTGTCCTGGTAAAAAACTCAAGTTGTTTCGTCCATGTTCTGATCTAATCTGCATCATCCAAACGTTTTCTTATATCTCCAAGTAATGTAAACACAAAAGCAGGGATGATTGAGACTTCCTTACAATGGTGTGGCGGTTCATTCAGCCAGGTCAAGATGTAAAAGTTGTTGAACAGACTAGGGCTGTGTATTGACCAAAATATTTCAATACGATACAATACGATATTTCATAAAGCGATATGCAATATATTGGATTCTTTAACAAATCTATCAATTGAAATAGGTCTTGTAAATCAATTTAATGCATAAATTTGATAAAAACGGGATGTTTTATTACCAAATTGGAAGTTCCTGTCTCCCTCTCTTTACAAAGTACACTTCAAATTCAAACTTTTAATGACTGTAAAACTACCATGTTAAAAATTAGTTGTCTATTTATTTTGCAATAGTTATTTAAGATATGCTATCTCATTCAAAAGAATGATGGCGATAAAAGTGATAAATTACCGTATATACTCGCCTATAAGTCGGTTTTTTGGGAGTTAAACTTTGGTCCAAAAACCCCTTCCGACTTATAGGCGAATTATGAGTAGGGGTGAAACGATACACCTCCTTCACGGTTCGATACGTATTGTACAATTTTGTCTCGGTACGGTTATTATGTTCCCCAAACGAAGTTGGGGAACATATTGTTTTTACTCTGTTTCTTATTATTATTATTATTTTTCTTCTTCTTCTTCTTCCTGGGTACTTTTTTGTCCGCGAGTGATCTCGTCAACTACTCATCCGATTGAGGTGAAACCTTTTTAGGGTTAATAGGCATGTTTTGTAGATATGCGGAATCAAGGTCATTTTGCGCGCACGTGCATGCACGTGCGTGCGCGTGCAATGCGTAAAATGACCAATATACTTGATATAGCTGTAACTTTTATATTTTTTGATGAAATGCTTTGATACTCAGAATATAAGGATATATTAGAAGTGAAAACAAGATGACATGGTCAACATGCACATGCATGCACGTGTGCGCAGGCGCAAAGCGTAAAATGACAAATATACTTGATATAGTCGTAACTTTGATACTTTTTGATGAAATGCTTTGATACTCAAAATATTTATATATATTAAAAGTGTAGACAAGATGACATGGTCATCATGCACATGCATGCATGCATGCATATGCATGCACGTGCGCGCGCGTGCAATGTGTTAAATGACCAATATACTTAATATAGCCGTAATTTTTATATTTTTTTATGAAAAGCTTTGATATTAAGAATATACAGATATATTAAAAGTGTAGACAAGATGATGTGGACATCATGCTCATGAATGCACATGCGCGCGCGTGCAATGTGTTAAATGACCAATATACTTAATATAGCCATAACTTTTATATTTTTTTTATGAAAAGCTTTGATACTAAGAATTAACAGACATATTATAAGTGTAGACAAAATGGCATGGTCATTATGAACATGCATGCAGGTGCGCATGCGTGCAATGCTAAGATGACCAATATACTTGATATAGCCGGAACTTATATATTTTTTGATGGAATGTTTTGATACTGAGAATATAAAGATGCTTTTATAGTATAGATGAGATGACATGGTCATCCTGCACATGCATGCACGTGCGCACGCGTGAAATGCAAAAAACGATCAATATACTTCATTGCCTTATTTAATGAAGCTTACAGGAAATAAGACACCAAAAGGGTGTTGGGGAGCGTTTGGGGAACATCTGTAACGGTCCCCGTTACAATTATAACTAGTTTTCGATACGATACATTTTGATAGAAGGAAACAAATTCAACCTTGTTTTATACCTATGTTTACTAAATCTAGTCACTTAATTTACGAATTTTTATTTGCAAATTGACTAGAAGAAAATGACTAGAATTATTTGACTGTGAAAAATTATTTTACAAACTATCTTTCATCAAAAATTTACGTTTTGTGTACTTACATGTGTATTTATACTGAGTAACATGTTTTACCTTATGCCAAACCCGACTGAATAACGATCCCAATCAAAATATGAACCGAACCGAAAATCAGAAATTTTGTACCGTGTATGAAACCGAGAAAAAATACCGTGGTGAATCGATACCGCGGTGAACCGTTTCACTTCTAATTATGAGAATATTGGTATAATAGCGGGTCAGTCCCTTTTATGTAAGCTTAAAAAATACAACCGACTTATAGGCGGACCGACTTATAGGCTAGTATATACGGTAACAATGAATTCTACTTCATTCTAGGACAAAACACTTGTCACGAAAGGATTGGATAATTATCAAAACGAGCAAGAATGATCAGGTTGTAGGTAATAGTCGGCCTAGTAGTCCTGAACACCAATATCAAGATGTTAACATGTTAAAGATTTGTTTTCAAAGTGAATGTAACATAACAAATAAAGATTTTCAAGTTAAATTCATTAATTTAAGGCTTAAAATAGATACAAAAAAACGGAACCGAAAACCCGTAACCGAACCAAAAATTTACAGAACCGACCCGACCTGAAAAATTTTGGAACCGTGACAGCCCTATCTGTTTTGGGTATAAACGAGGAATTTTTGACAAAGTTATGCCCCTTGGACTTAGAAAAATTCCAGTTATTTGCTTTCTTTTCATTATCTATACAAAGGTTGAACAGATTAATTACTGATTTATCATAATTAATTGCAAAGATGTGATGTAGAAGACTATTTCTGGTTGATGCATCTCGGATAGTACCAGTAGATGACCCCTATTCATTTTAAGTTCAGAAGGTCAATTTCACTTCCATGTACACTGCCCATAATGTATACTGCTCTCAATAAAGGCTTGTGCACCCTATATTGGCTTGGGGGGGGGGGGGGGTGCATAAGTGTTTCATAAACATCTCTTGTTATTTTAATTTTTTCTATCTCCAGAGTTTAAGTACTTATTTCTGCAGACATCCTATTGTAATCATATAAAACAGTAGCTTTTATCCATCCTGTAGGATTCAAGAACTAATGAAATTTACTTTGTTAACATGTAATTGTCTCTTTATAAGTTGGAAATTTCATTTGATCTTGGTTATGATGTATTGTACGTTCCAATTAGTAACTACATCTTAGGAGATGCACATCAGACTTAAGAAATGGAAAAATCATTGAATTCTTTGTACCAAGGATGATGTGATTCTCTTCATTTCACTCTTAATCTGTTTATGATAATTGAAACAATATTTGACAGTCGTGTCATGTGCCATGGCGGTATGCTTTATTCCCTTAAAAAAATAATCCGAAATTCCTTATGTTTGATTTGTTAACCTTAATATAAAAATGGAAATTGGTAAATGATTGAAGAGCAAGACCTGTATTAACTAAGGTTGGTCCTCTCTCAGTTGTTGGGACAAAAATCATGAAAATTATCAGATCTGGGAGAGAATTACAAATCAATTGATACTGAGAAATACTAAATTTTAGCTTTAAAATTGCAACTGCCACATATTCATAAATTATAATTAAAAAATTAATTTACTGATAAAGAGATGAAGTTCTGGGAAATGCACATTTATTTCTGTTTCAAGTTGTGCAAATATTTAGTTTGTTACAAAAGATGTATTGACATGACTATCAGTACCTCTGATCATGTTTTTTCTTTTATTGCAGGTATTTTATCCATGGCCAATGCAGGCCCCAACACCAATGGCAGTCAGTTCTTTATCTGTACGGAAAAGACCGCTTGGCTAGATGGTAAACATGTTGTGTTCGGACAGGTTGTCGAAGGCATGGATGTCGTCAAAAAAATGGAGGGGTTAGGTTCCCAGAGTGGAAAACCATCTGGAAGAGTTTCAATCGAAAATTGTGGCCAGCTATAAATAAAACATTTGAAGAAAAATCTCAAGTAATCAGCCACTCTTATCATGAGAGGAACACTACCTATAACTGTAACAGTGCTAAAACAAGTGCTTATTTCTGCAGACTATCTATTGTAATCATATAAAACAGTAGCTTTTATCCATCCTTTAGGATTCAAGAACTAATCATGCAATTTACTTCGTTTACATGTTATTGTCTTTTTATAATTTAGAAATCTCATTTGATGTTTGTTTTGAAAAGGGTTGTTGTCAAGGGTTACAATTGGAAGGTCGCAAAGTTCAGAATCAGAGGTGAAATATTCGGAAATAAAATTTCTTTTCTTATTTTTCTGTTTAATTATTTGTGCAAGAAGATATTTTCTTCAGAATTTGAAGTTAAATTTTGCACAGGCTAGTGTCAATGATTTATGGACATTTACTTCACTTTTCCCTGGAGTATTTTACTAGACCACCCAGACCAGAGAGCAAAATTGAACATTCAGAGCAACTCATGTCTCTTTGACCATTAGTTTTGGTCAGTGTACCCAGAATTTAAACAGTTTTAATGAGTGAGTCATTATATTCAAGCATACAAAAAAATAGTTATTTTGAAAAACTTTAATTTGGATTTCCAGAATTTTATTGCACTGTACAGACTTCTGTTTTTTTTTCTATGTGAGTCTGTTGCAGTTTGCTAGTCTGTCGGTCATTGTCAACTTATTCCAGCCCTGAATTTTCGGTACAGTGTATTATATTATAGAGTCTTAAAAAATGTGTATATCATAGGCCTTGGCATAATTAGGGCCCCGCTCTGCGGATGCCCTATAGTGATCAGTCTGTCCGTCTGTCCATCTAAGATCTCTTGTCCAGAGCATATCTTCTCTCTCCTTGGCCCAATCTGGCTCATACTTCACCCACAGAGTGTCTTTGGGTAAAGGGTGTGCAGTGACCTTGAACCATGTTTCTAGGTTGAAGGCCAAGGTCATAGCAGAATTATATGAAAAATCCTTGTCTGGAGCATGTCTTCTCTCCTCTTGGTCCAGTGTGGCTCATAATTCACTCACAGAGTGCCACTGGTCAATGGATGTGCATTAGCCTTGAACAAAGTTTTTAGGTCAAGGTCAAAAAATAGCCTCTCTGTTTAAATCCTTGTCCAGAGCATATCTTCTCTCTCCTTGCCCAATCTGGCTCATACTTCACCCACAGAGTGTCTTTGGGTAAAGGGTGTGCACTGACCTTGAACCATGTTTCAAGGTCATAGCAGAATTATATGAAAAATCCTTGTCCAGAGCATATCTTCTCTCCTCTTGATCAAATGATCATACTTCACTCACAAAGTGCCACTGGTCAATGGATGTGCAGTGACCTTGAACGAAGTTTTTAGGTCAAGGGTCAAGGTAAAAAAAAAACACTGTTCAAATTTTTGTCCAGAGTATATTTTCTCTCTCCTTGGCCCAATCTGGCTCATACTTCACCCACAGAGTGCCTTTGGGTAAAGGGTGTGCAGTGACCTTGAACCATGTTTCTAGGTCTAAGGTTAAGGTCATAGCAGAATTATGTGAAAAGTCCTTGTCCATAGCATAACTTTTCTCCCCTTGGTCCAATGTGGCTCCTAATTCACTCACAGAGTGCCACTTGTAAGTGGATGTGCAGTGACCTTGAACGAAGTTTCTAGGTCAAGGGTCAATTTCAAAAATAGCCTCTCTGTTTAAAATCTTCGTTCGGTGCATAATTTCTTTCCCTTAAGTCCAGTCAGCCTCAAACCTTACAAATTGACTTAGGGTATGGATCATTTGTGATTTTCCTTCCATATTTCTGATAGAGGATATGCAACAATTTTCATAGAGGATATGCAGCATTTGTGATTTTTGTGCCGTTTTTTGATGGAAGGTGTTGAGCACTCGTGATTTTTGTGCCATTTTTTATTATAACAAGGATAACATAGAAGCCATTTAGACTCCAACAACACATCCCTTAATAGTACACAAATGTTCCTCTTCAAAATAAACCCTTTTCAGCTACCTTACATTTTCGTGTTCATTGCTGAAAGCGGGGCCCTTTGAGATGGCCACCATCTCAATGATATCTAGTTGTAATTCATTGGGAGCTTAGGCCTTCCATATAGCAATCCATCAGTCTGAAGGGCCAATTTTGTAGAACTATCCACTTTCATAATGTTACGCACTTAGTACAACAATAACCATGTATGTATATAAATGATATGTGTTGAAAATTACTAGGCTCATCTTTTGATAAAATCTAGAACATCTGGAAAAATTCTGATTGTTGCAATTCATTGTGTCAATATTTTTACTTTTTCCACAACCTGTAATCGGTGGTAATGAAGTTGTGAACTGTAAGGCAAGGAGTCCATTATTGCATTGGATATTTACCAAGTTCTATAGCATTAATCTACGGTTCCCAACAGCTGCCTTTTATCTCCATGGTTTATCTTTCCATTTTTGCACAATAGAGCTAGAACCTTGAGTGAGTCTGATCAAAGTTTGTCCAACATCCATATAATGGAAAGACACGTCACATCGTCATCTCAAGAGTCGCTTAGGCCAAGTTCCAAGGACTGAGATGGGTCAAGGAGAAGTATATGAGAACGGTTGGTCATAATCTCGTGGAGATTTGGCTCGGCTATGTATTTGGTCTGATGCCTTCGGTGAATGCGTCAAACGAGCTGAATCTCCACCGAGATAAGGTTGGTCACAGTCATTACAGTACAAGAATTCCCATCTGCTGTAGATTCAAGTTGGTTCAATTCATAGTCGCCATGCAGGGTTTAGGTCGGTTAAAGAGTAAATTTGGGAAAATATTTTTCAAGAATAGCAAGACCACCGTTAGGCGTTAGTCAAAATTATGTTCAGGCATACGTATAGTATTTTTAATAATGGTTTTTTTAATGCCCTGCCATGAATATGTATGGGGTACATAGTGTTTATCATGTCTGTCACACTTTGCCTGATCAATGCAGAGGGCTCACGGTGGGTGTGTCTGGTCCTCTGGTGTCTCCAGGGGTCCTTGTTTTTGCCCTCTTCACAATCGACAGGGTCGTCCCTAAGAATTGAAATAGAAGGGGGCATTTAAAAAGTATGTGGGTATTTGGGATTCCTCTCCCAATGGGGAGTTTAAGAAGAATACCAAAATAACCGGAGGATTACATCATTAAAGGCGGGGAGATTGATGAGATTGATCACTGTTCATTATTTTCACCAAATTACCATGATTTTTAGCTCACTTGAGCTGAAAGCTCAAGTGAGCTTTTCTGATCACCCGTTGTCCGTCGTCCGTTCGTCTGTAAACTTTTCATATTTTCAAGTTCTCAAGAACCACTGGGTCAATTTTAACCAAACTTGGTACAAAGCATCCTTGGGTGAAGGGGAGTTTAAATTGTTAAAATGAAGGGTCAAGTCCCTTTCAAAGGGGGGATAATCAAGAAAATACAAAAATTGGGTGGGGTCATTAAAAAATCTTCTCAAGAACCACTGGGCCAGAATAGCTGAAACTTCTGTGGAAGGATCCTGGAGTAGTGTAGATTCTAAATTGTTCAAATCAGGACCCCCGGGGATAGGGCAAGGCTAAAACAGGGAATCCAAGTTTTACATTGAAATATGTAGTAAAAATCTTTAAAAATCTTCTTCTCAAGCACCACTGGGCCAGAAAAGCTGAAACTTCTGTGGAAGGATCCTGGGGTAGTGTAGATTCTAAATTGTTCAAATGATGACCCCCGGGGGTAGGGCGGGGCCACGATAGGGAATCCAAGTTTTACATTGAAATATGTAGCAAAACTCTTTAAAAATCTTCTTCTCAAGAACCACTGAGCCAGAAAGGATGAAACTTATGTGGAAGCATTCTGAGATAGTGTAGATTCTAAATTGTTCAAATCAATACCCCGGGGGTAGGGCGGGGCCACAAAAGAAAATCCAAGCTTAACATTGAAAAATGTAGAAACAATCTCTAAAAACCTTCTCCACAAGAACCACTGAGCCAGAAAGGCTGAAACTTATGTGGAAGCATCCTGGGGTTGTGTAGATTCTAATTGGTAAAATCATGATAATTGGGGGTAGGGCGGGGCCACAATAAGTACTACAAGGAGAGGGGATCAGGTGAAAAACAGCAAGGCCAAAGTTACTCAGGTGAGCGTTGTGGCCCATGGGTCTCTTGTTATTATGCTTCAACAAAAAGTGGGGGGCAAACCAGTCTTTCAGTGTACATTTTCAATTAGTAAAATATTAAGTTTGGAAAAAGTGGGGGGGGGGGCACACCCCCCCCCTTGCCACGTGCCTGAACTCAAGATACATACCATGTCCAAAGTAAAATGCTTTAGACTTTCAAGTAAGTGTTGTGACGAATAGGCTTCTTGTTATTTTTTTTAAATGCCTATTATTCCTTTATAATTCATGATCTGCTTATGCTTCTTCAGGATGTAGACTATGTTTTGAATGTTTGCATCAAATAAATGGAAATAACGAACAGTATTTAAGCTCAAAAGCCCATTAAACAATACAAATCAGGAGCAGAGCAAAAACAGACCTCTAAAACATCAGAGGTGGGATCAGGTTCCATGGAAGAGTGAGCATCCCCTGACGACCGGTCACACCCGCCGTGTGCTCCTTGCCATGATCGGGAAAATTGGAAAAATCCGTCGACAATTCAGTGTGTAAATAATGGCCTAACAATTAGTATGAAAAACGTCAGCATTTGATTTTGCATATGATTTGACTATGAGTGGTCAAGATGGGTAAAGGCTAAGCTAAGACCCTTCTGGTCATTTTCTTGGAAATATAAAAATAGAAATCTCTTAATTACAAATTATTTTCTACACGCAAAATTATAATAATAAAAAAAAAATCAATCATTCTGTTACCAGAAATTAAATTGGCGAAGATAACGAACAGTGATCGATCTCTAAAAACCTACCAACAATACAAATCTTTAAACAGGGCATAAAAAACAGAACAGTGGAAATTCCAGAGATAAGATCATGTGCCCAGGAGGAGTAAGCATTCGTAGTCGACCGTCACACCACAGTGAGCCCTATGTATTGATCACGTAGACGGAGTAATCCATGGTGATATAAAACAAAGGCCTTAAAATTGGTCTGTTTGTAAAGAAGGTCACCATAACGACCGTAGAATTTTCGAAATTCTGACTTTAATCGGGGTTGTTGAAATCCTTGTAACATCAACTTATTTGTCAATAGCTTGCCTCGGTTTAAAATCTAATCGTATTCAGAGAATGTTCTTGCGTATCAAATGAGGTGGGAGACATGAACTCCATATGCAGCTGATGTTAAAATATTGCTATATAAAATAAAGGAAGTGAAAATGGAAAAGCTG